ATCCTGGATCTTGTAAAAAGGGGATACATTGGGAAGGGCTAATCAGAGGAAAGGGGTGCAGAAGTGGCTCAGAGGGCAAAATGCTTCCTCTGTAAGCATGAGGATCTGAAGTTGGGTCCCCAGCACCCATATTTTAAAAAAGGCTGGCTATACAGCAGCATGCACATGAAACTACAGCTCTGAGGAAGTGGAGGCAGGAGGAGACCAGGAGTTCACTGACCCTAACTGCCTATAGCTTTTTGCTAAGTTAATTAGTCAGTTAACTCATTAATAGGTCTGCTATTGCTTCCCATCTTAAAAAAGAAAAAGAAAAAAAAATCTGCTGCTGCTTCTTTATACTCCTTGGTAAACAGTTATTCCTGATTGTATATTTTGAAAGAGCCCAAGTCAGTTGGCTAATTTAATAATAATAATAAAACACATCTCTTTGCTGCAATATTTCTTAGCAGCTTTCTTCCTCTGGTGCTGGGATCAAACCTAGAGCCTTGGGAATGGTAAAGAAGAACTCTGCCCTGGAGCCACAGCTTTCATCCTTGGTATTTTGAGACAAAGTCTTGCTAGGTAGCCTATTCTGGCTTCAAACTTACAATCCTGCCTCTGCTTCCCAGATGCTTAAATCACCATCACGCCTAGCTTTTTAGATGCTTTGATATGGGACTTTAAGGGAATGCTAACATGATAAAGATTGCTAAACACATTTGATTATCCAGGTCATCCTTTGAAAAGAATCACAAGAAGCACATCTTGAGAGGACTGAGGGAAGAAGCTAGGGAGGGAAGAAGGCATTACTCCCTGAGCATCAATCATAATTAGTGCCTATAACTGCACTACCCAAAAGGTCAGACAATAGGAAAAAAATGGTCAAATTTGCCTTATAATTCACAAGTTTCATGGTGCACATGTGGATTCAATATTGCTACTATGCTTTTTTTCACCCTATATATCAGACCACTTTCTGCTACTATGACAAGATATCTGAGGCTAAAGTATAAAGAAAAGCAGTTCATCTAGCAGCATGACATTGGGTTTTGTGTGGTCCCCTCTGGCTATATCACATCATGGTAGGTGACATCCTGGTGATGGCATGTTTGAGAGGAAGACATCACATAGCAAGACAAGGTGCCAGAAAGCTGTAAGGGGCTGGACTCATTCTTTTGAAAGAACTTATTTTCATGAAACTATTTGGGTTGCCATGAGAAATTACTTTTTGAAATTCTCTATCCTAAATTTTTCTTTTAAAATTTTATTTTATGAATTTATTTATGGGGAAAGCCATCTCATTACCCACATGGAGGTCAGAAGACAACTTGCAACAAGAGCCAGTGCTCTTGTTATACCATGTGGGTCCCAGGAACCAAACATAAGTTATCAGGTTTGTATCTTTATCCATGGAGTCATCTTGAAGACCATTCCATGAGAAATGACTTGATCCCTCCCAAGGATGATGTAACCAATGACTCAATAATTTTACTCTATAGACCCCTATACTTTGAGTCCCAACATCTCTTACCAATTACACTGGTGAATTTGGTTGAGACTAGTGTCAACACATAAAGGACAAACATTAGCACTTTATACATAAATGTGTTTTATGGAAAAAAAATCAAAATTTATATTCTTCTACTTAATACTTGTACATATTTTTAGTGCTTCCTATACTTATTAACACTGTATTGCCCTTGGTATAATGGTGCACACCTTTAATACAAGCTCTGGGGAGCAAAGGCAGCTGTCTGTCTGAGTTCAAGGCCAGCCTGTTCTATAGTGGGTTCCCAGAACGAGAGAGAGAGAGAGAGAGAGAGAGAGAGAGAGAGAGAGAGAGAGAGAGAGAGAGAATGAATAACAACAACAACAACAAAACAATCAGACAAAAAAGCTAGTCAAAGTCGGGCAGTGGTGGCACATGCCTTTAATCCCAGCACTTGAGAGGTAAAGACAGGCAGATTTCTGAGTTGGAGGCCAGCCTGGTCTACAGAGTGAGTTCCAGGACAGCCAGGGCTACACAGAGAAACCCTGTTTCGATAAACTAAAAAAAAAAAAAAAAAAAAAAAAAAGCCTAGTCAAATAAATACTGCATTAAACATGGTTTTTATTTCTTTTACTCCTCAACTTTCCCCTATATATTAAAAATTATAAAAAGTGGTGATGGCTAGTTCCCCTGTAAGATTCATAATTCTAAACTTCCCTTTCCCACGTCCTAGACATATAGCAGCTCTTTCTTTTTTTCTTTTTCTTTTTTTCCTTTGGTTTTTCGAGACAGGGTTTCTCTGTGTAGCCCTGGCTGTCCTGGAACTCACTCTGTAGACCAGACTGGCCTCAAACTTAGAGATCCACCTGCCTCTGCCTCCCAAGTGCTGGGATTACAGGCGTGCGCCACCACCGCCCAGCTCAGCGGCTCTTTCGTATTGAAGGTTCTTTGTGGAATCCTAAGTATTGTATCAAATCAAATCAATATCCTGATCCTATCTTCTATTTTTTTTTTTTTTAGAAAGAATCTCACTATGTAGCATTTTGTTGGACTGCCACTTTCTGTGTCGTCAGAGACCTGTTTGCCTTTGCTTCCAAAATGCTGGGATTAAAGGCTTGTATCTGTATCACCATGCCCAGCAATGTTCTCTTTTGAGACAAAGTCTGGTTGTGTATCCTGGGCTGGCCTTAAACTTATGATCCTCCTGCTTCAACTTCTGAGTGATAGGCAAGTGTCACCATTCCCAGCTGATCTTGTTCCTCTTTTGCTATGCTGGGAGTTAAAAGTCACCAGAATGTTAATTTAAATACGATAAAGTAAAACTAGTGACGATCACGTCCTTGTTGTTTAATATATTTCAAACTACCTCACGAGCTCCCTAAGGTTCTTTTCTCTTTATGTCTAATCACCAGAAAACCTAACACAATATTTCCCGTAAATTCCTCAGGTTATGACCATAATGACAGACACATATCTTCAAGTACCCTGGAAGGTAATAAGACAAGCCAGGAGACCCACAATTCAAAGAAAATATCTGCCTTTTTCTAGCAGATGTGGGATAACTTAACAGCAGTTGTTCTGAATGCTGTTTTATGCTGAGGTGTTCTGCTAAATGCTAGAAAGGCAACTACCGTAGGTAGCTACTGAAATATGTATTTAGGAATGTATCACTGGTAACGAGCCAAACAAAACAAAAGTATGACTCATCATGAATGTTCTCTAACCGTCCTTGCATTATTGGGTGGTTTTAATACTGTATAAATAAAATGAACTGCTATTTAGATGCTTCTCAAAGGCATTACAAAACCCTTGATTAGCAACGGTTTACAACCTAACAAATTAATTAATTATCCTTTACCTTCCTGTTAATAAGGTGAGGAATTAATTAGAAGAAGATTTTCCTATCTTTAAAGTGTATAGCAAATGCTCTTAGTAAATGCTTCTTTCTCCTGATCTTGAAATATCTAAGTTCATCTCTGACTAGGATCACAAACGGGAGAATCTGTAGCCCATCTCAAGAGTGGTTGAACGGAAAGGAGTCTTAGAAATTATTAAAGATGTCTTCATCTTACAGATGAAGCACAGCTAAAAAAAAAACCAAAACTGTTTCAATTGAAGGAGGCTGACTGAAAAGACAACGAAAATGTCTTCGATTCTAAACAATCGATGACCTTTAACAGCTCTCTGGAAGCTGGCCTTACCGCTTCTCTACACCACAAAAGTAAGAAAACTAACATACAAGCAAGAAAGGCGGTTCCCTTGTTATCTCTGTGAATCAGTGGAATCAGTGTCAGACCCAGGAATGGTCTCTTTGAGACCACAGAGATCTGCCTGCCTCTGCCTCTGGAGTGCTGGGATTAAAAGGCTTGTCCTATTACAATCTGGCTGGAAGCCAAAATTTGGAATGTTGACCATTCTACACATGTAGGCTGAACTATCTTGGAATGGATGCTGGCCGTGTGACAGAAAGCCATATTTGTGAAGTTCCTTAATGGAGTTCTTTATTTCACAAGCAAAGTACTTGCTGAGAGATACAAAAAATGCTTGCTTACAAGAGTTCAAAGATCCTGTGATTTTTAAGAAACAAAACCCTACACTATTAGCTTTCTTACCTTCCTCTAGAATAAAGTACTCTTTGACTTCAAAAACTGGAAATACACTTTAAATGTGTTTTAATCTCAACTATCCAAGAAATTCACTTTCATTTACTTTTTTTCTGTAAGGCCGGTCGACTTTATACAGTCTTTCAGGTGAACATCCAGAGCGAGAAACTATCTACTTAAGACTGGCTCTCTCCATTTAGAAAAGTATTTTCTTCTGTTGTCACACACCAGAACGTTAAGAACCCATCAGTGAAATAAAAGGTTGCAGACAACCCTCAATATTACCTTTTTCACATCAAAGTGCCAAAGGTGACAAACTTTTAAAGGAAACTTCACCCTTTAAACACAAACACACACCCTTAGTTGTATCAGTGACTCTGATGTTTCATTTAGTTGTTTTCCAAGACCTACTCCCGAGGGTCATGGCCCAGAATTTTCTGATGACCACACTCAGTGCTGTCAGACGTTTAAACCATTACCGCATGCATCTCGCTGTGAACCGTTCCGGGGGAGCTCTGGCTGTAAGGCCGGCTGGAAATCTGCTTGCTGAGAACTAAAGATTTTTCACAGACCTGGAAACCCTACTTGGCGTATTTCCCGGGCCTGAAAGAGGCTTGGTCAAGGCTGGGGAGGAGGTGCTAGGAGGAAGGTGGTTGAGTCAGGGTGTGTGTGCAGAGCGAGCGAAGTCGAGTTTTGGGGAGAAGGCAGCGGTGGAGCCAAAGGGACCCAAACGCTAAGAGGAACAGAGCTGGGAAAGACCAGCGACTCTGTTTCGGACAGGAAAGGAGACAGAAAGGGGGCGCAGGAAATCCGCACTAAAGAAAGAAGAAACTGCGGAGGAGGAAGTCGCCCCTGGAAGGGGAGGGGCGAAGGGGAAGCGAGCACCGAGCGCTAGCACTTTCCAGAGCCTGTGGCGGGTGCCTCCCTACCTGAAGCGCTCCTGCCCCGCCGTGTCCCAGAGCTGCAGCTTGATCCTCTTGCCCGGCTCAATCTCCAGCAGGCGCGAGAAGAAGTCCACGCCGACTGTGGGGTCGCAGGCGGGGGAGTGCAGCCCTGGGAAGCGGCCCTGGGTGAAGCGGTGCAGAAGGCACGACTTGCCCACCGTGGAGTCTCCGATCACGATAAGGCGGAACTGGTAGATCCAAATAGTCTCCATCTCCTTCGTGCCCGGTGCGCTCAGGAGCAAGTTCTGCCGAAGGAACTGTCCCTTCAGCACCTACGCGGCACCCGCCCGCCCGCCCGCTTCCAGCATCTTCCTGCGGCTGCGGCCGCCGCCTGGTAGCCGCCCTCTGAGGAGGGAGGGGCGGGACAGCGGGCAAGGGGCGGGGACCTGTTCTGCTTGGGGCGGGGTTTGAGAGTGAGGGAGGGGCCACGAGTTAGGGAGGGGCCGCAGGTAGGGGGCGGGAACCTAACTTGCAGAGCCGCTGCCTCGGGCTGAGGGCTGGGTCTCAGATAAAGGGGCGGGAACTGATGCTCTAGAGGCGGGTCATTGGTCAAACGGGGGTGGGGCCTCTAACAAGAGGGGCGCGGCGAGAGCATCTGCCTAGGAGATGGGGGCGGGGGGGAGGGAAGTAGCAGAACTCCAGGAGAAGCGTTTTCTAGTGAAGATCTTGTTGCTTGTTGGAAGTGGACCAGGAAGTGGGTGTGACGAAAAGACGGTGACAGCAATAGCAACCAATGAAAATGTACTCGAGGGCTAAACTCCAGAAAGGTCAGCCAATGGGAAGTGAGAGTCATTTTTTTCTCACGCGTCTGCGAAGGCTCCTCAGACTAGGAACCTGATCTTGGAAGTCGGTCAGGCTCTAACAGGCTTCTGTATGTGGATTCGTGGTGTCCGAGTTCTCAGAAGAGTCCAGTTGGCAGTTTCCTCTGAAGAAAACAAATTTGCAGAGCTAGTTCTGATAGTTTCTGTTAAGGATTGCCTGTTGCTGTTTGCGCCTGGTTCTACCCCTATGCTCTTTGGGGCCCTCCAGCCTGAGAAAAATTGAAAATGTTGAGAAGCTCATACAAGTTACCACTATTCGCGGTCTATAGCTGCCCTCTGCTTGTGTATGACCAATGAGCTAATAAACAAAACGAAATTTAAATTTTGGTGAGACCTTACTGTATTCTCATCCCTTCACTCAAATTTGATGAGGAAGAAGAGAATTTCTCTTCTGGACTGGGATGCAGCTCAGGTGGTAGAGTTGCCTAGCAACATGAAGCCCTGGGTTCAGTCACCAACTCCACATAAACCAGATATGGTGGCCCACGGTTATAATTCCACCACGTGGAGCGCGAGGATCAGATGTTCAAGATTATCCTCAGCTACACAGACAGTTACAGGATGACTTAGCTTTTAAAAGTCAAATCAAAGTTCAACAGCTTTAAGGTGTGCGTTTATAAAACCAAAGTCTGTGATGAGAGCTGTATAGCTCAGTGTAAGCACTCTTCCCCGCCTGCATGAAACCCTAGGTTTGATCCTCAATCACTGAATTTTTTTTGCCAACCATTTCATTCTTTTCTTGCAAAATCTCACTCATCCTTAATTCCTTTCTTTGTTTTGGAGGAAGAAGTGTGACTTTCAGAGAACTGTTCTTTTCTCTGCCATGCACCATTAGTCCTCCCCCATCAGTCAATCTTTATTTTATGTGGTATGTATCTTGTCTCCCTTCTACAATTGTTTCTTCTTTCTTTTTCTTTCTTCTTCCTCCTTCTTCTATTTATTTATTTATTTATTCATTTATTTATTCATTTATTGTTTTTGTTTTGTCGACACAGGACTTTTTTTGTGTTCCCTGGCTATCCCGGAACTAGCACTGTCGACCAGGCTGGCCTCGAACTCACAAAGATCCACCTGCCTCTGCCTTCTAGTGCTAGGATTAAAAGAATGCACCACCACCACCACCACCACCACCACCACCACCCCACTCTGTTTCTACTCCTCGGTCTTCAAATGTATTTGAGTGTTCACAGTCCTAAAGCTAAATAATCAGAACTCCCTTGGTTATGCTCCTTTGCTTCTACCATCATTCTCCTTTTCACAGATCCAAAACAGCACTCTACCATCATTTCTCGTCCACAAGACTATCTTTAACCTTCATACACTTTCTATGCTGCAGACTCTCACGAAACAATTACTTCAGCTAACTCTGCATGAGACCCCCCTAATTATCAGATTCAACCCACCTGTCATCATCCTCCTCACCTCTGAACACATCATTCTCCCTGACCTCTCAGGACCCCTCCATTTAAGGGTAACCAAGTGACAGTTCTATACTCTGAGACATAGGAGTGGCTTTTTTGGTAAAGATTGTTTCTTTCTATGAAGGAATGACAACTTTTTTGTCTGTCTTTCTTTTTCTCCTTCTCCTCCTCCTCTTCCTCTTTCTCTTTCTTTTTCTCCTCTTCATATGGGTGTTTTGGCCGGGTGGTGGTGGTGCACTCCTTTAATCCCAGCACTTGGGAGGCAGAGGCAGGCAGATTTCTGAGTTCAAGGCCAGCCTGGTCTACAGAGTGAGTTCCAGGACAGCCAGGGCTATACAGAGAAACCCTGTCTCAAAAATAGAAAAAGAAAAAGAAAAGAAAAAAGAAAGAAATTAGGGAAGAAAGAAAGAGAGAGAGAGAGAGAGAGAGAGAGAGAGAGAGAGAGAGAGAGAAAGCATATGGGTATTTTGAATGCATTACATCTGGGTATTTTGAATGCATTACATCTGAGTACCTTTTGGGGGCTTGGTGCAGGCAGATGCCCAGAAGGGAGCATCAGATTTACAATAGGATGTGAACTGACACGTAGGTGCTGGGTATTGAAGCTGGGTAACCAGGAAGATGGGGCCAGTGCTCTGAGTTACTGAGCCATCTCAGCTGCTTGTCTTTTACCCTTCTTTCTTTTTCTCTTCCTACTCGAAATGTATTATGACAACCATCTTGTGAAGAGGAAGGTCTGGATGCTAAGGGAAAGTGGAAAAGATCCTGGTTCCTACATGACTTTGTTGATCTGTGCTACCAGCTCTGCTATAGACAAATGAACCAGTAGCCGTTAAACTATTGGTGACTGAACTTTCTTTCCTTTGTCTTCTTCTTCCTCTTCCTCTCCCTCCTCTCCCTCCTCTTCCTCCTCTTCCTCCTCTTCCTCCTCCTCTTCCTCCTCCTCTTCTTTTTTGCTGCTCCTTGTTCTTCTAGCAGAATCCACAAGTAGGAATGCTGCTGGCATCTGAAAGTCAATAGGTTGTAGCTCTGATGCAGAGCTCCTACTAGGTGGTGTCTAGACACATCACAGACTGATTTCTGTTTCTCTATAGACATAATTTAGTTGGTTTGTCTAGAATACATGTTCATACATGCTATAATGTGGGCCTTAGATGAGCCACAGAGCTCCATATATTAAAATCTTGGCCCCCAGCTTGGCACTTCTGGGAGGTGACAGAAGGTCTTTAGGTCTTTAGAAGGCATGACTTTGAAGACAGTTGTGATGAAACCAGGGAGATGACTCAGTGGGTAAAGTGCTTGTTGCTTGAATGAGGACCTGCAGTTTGGACCTGCAGGTGAGTATGACAACACACACTTGTAACACCAATGTGGGAGGAGCTAGGGTGGATGTAAGTTGTGTTTGTGTGTGTTACAGTGTTGGAGCCAGGGCTTATATGATTACATCTACAATCTATCCAGGAGAGTCCGATACAAGACTTTCTGCTTTTCTTATTATATATATAAACATATATAAATAAATGTTTAAAATATATACATTATATAATAAATATTATTTATGAGTACACTGTAGCTGTCTTCAAACACACCAGAGGAGGGTATCAGATCCCATTACAGATGGTTGTGGGAATTGAATTCAGGAAAAGCAATCAATGCTTTTAACTGCTGAGATATCTCTCCAGACTCTATTTCTCTAATATATACATATATATATATATATATATATATATATATATATATATGTTTATTTAATTGTTTATTTAATTTCATGAGTATGACTGGTTTACTTTTGTTTATGTATATGGTAGACCACGTAGATTCCTGGTGCTCACAAGGGTTAGGAAAGGCTGTCAAATCCCTTGGAGCTGATGGTACAAATTTTTGTGAGACACCAAATGGGTGCTAGATCCTCTATAAGAACAATGAGTGCTCTTAACCACAGAGCCAGTTCTCCAGTCTCATGTTGTATTCTTAACTGTAAAACACTTATTAGTTTATTATTTTGTCAGTATGTGCATGCAGAAGTCTGTCCTCTTATGTGGGATCCAGGAATTGAAGTCAGGTTCTCAGATTTGCAGAGCAAATCTTTACCCACTAAACATTCAATTGGTCCTCAGTATTGTTTCCTCTTTTAAAGATTTCTAGAATCTTTTGATACATTAAAGTAAAGTACATAGATTAACTTGGTCATAAATTTACTGTCAAAACTGGAATTTTCCACAATGACTCCAGCTGAGAATTTGGAGATCGACCATTGAGGCTTTATGTGAAGTGCTTGTAACCTCCCATTCCTCACAGAGACAGCTTAAGCTGGAACCACAGCTCTGATTTAAACTGGTTCCAGTTCTTGGCATTGGTGACACATACCTTTAATCCCAGCACTTGGGAGGCAGACACAATTATGTCTCTGAGTTTGAGGCCAACCTGGGCCATAAAGAGAGCTCCAAACAGAGGAACCCTGCATTGAAAAACTAATTTGTCTGTTTATTCATTCATTCATTCAATCTATCTATCTATCTATCTATCTATCTATCTATCTATCCTATCTGTCTATCTATTGACAGGGTCTCACTATGATTCTCTTCTCTGTTGAGAATTCTATCTTTAGCTCTGTACCCACTTTTTAATTAGGTTATTTGGGTTGTTGGTATCTAACTTCTTCTTCTTCTTTTTTTTTTTTTTTCGGTTTTTTCGAGACAGAGTTTCTGTGTGTATAGCCCTGGCTGTCCTGGAACTCACTCTGTAGACCAGGCTAGCCTCGAACTCTGGAACTCAGAGATCCGCCTGCCTCTGCCTCCCAAGTGCTGGGATTAAAGGCGTGCGCTACCACCGCCCGGCCGGTATCTAACTTCTTGACTTCTTTTTTTTATCTTGGATATTAGCTCTCTGTCAGATGCAAGGTTGGTGAAGATCTTTTCCAATTCTGTAGGCTGTTGTTTTGTCCTATTGATGGTGTCCTTTGCCTAACAGAAGCTTCTCAGTTTTATGAGGTCCTATTTATTTATTTATTTATTTATTTATT